GCCAATTACCATACATTGTACACATTTGTGTATTTTGGAAATGTACTTGACCAGAACACTATGTATTTGTATTTGTAGGAAATATGAGAGAGGATATAAAATATCAACATACCCCAGTGCATCCAAGTTGAATAAGGTTAAGTATCAAATTGGTGTACTACCTCATGATTAGCTTGCACTTTATCCCCTATTAGAAGGCTTCTGATTGGGTCATCCACAAATTCTTCCTGCGAGATAATTTATCCTTGTTTACTTTGTGCGCATGTCAGCACTTTTCCCAGTGTTTAAAATGGTGATTTTTGACGAAAATGCTTGGACAGAAGCTTTGTTGCAAGTGCAAACACAATTCAGTATCGCCAAGCTATTTCCAGAACAGAGGAATCTATTCGAGCCTTCATGTAAAAAGGCAACATTTTTGTAAATTTACCAACAGGATATGGGAAATCGCTTATTTTTCAATGCCTTTCAATTGTTGCTGATGTTCTCAATGTCAGAAGAGAACATAATGTCAGAGAACATGGAACAAGTGTGGTGGTTGTAATCTCACCTCTGCGATCATTGATGAAAGACCAAGTTGATTATTTAGGAGAAAATGTTATTCCAGCTATTGTGAATGATGACAAAGACGACCCTGAAATAATCGAACAGGTCATAAACAGCTACTATATACTTTTGTGTATTGTTCCCCTGAGAGAGTGCTATCAACTGAGACATGGAGAGGGATTTTTCATGATACCAGTTTTAGGGAGGTTAATTGGCATCGTAATAGACGAGGCTTGTTGTATTACACAGTGGTAAGTGATGCTTTGCTTTCAGTAAGCTATGAACATAAATAGTAATTACTATCAATGAGTTTCTAAGAATACTATAAATCTATTATTATTATTATTCAAGTATTAGTGATTTGAATTATGCATACAAATTAAATCAGTTTTCAAAAAGTAACAAGTTGCAAGCTGATTTATGGAAAGGTCCATTCCAAAAGTGGTGCAGATGTTTGGGTGAACTAATTTCTCTAAAATGACATTACATCCTGTTTACGTAAGAAATTTAGGCTCTACGGACAGGGTTACTCTAACATTGACCGTCCAAATTGTTAAAAAAATCAGATCCGTGTCAAAAAAGGAAGTGTGCTGGTTCAAGTTTGTTTCTCATCAGTGGCATAGCCAGCCTGACGATTTTGCCCGGCTATGTAAATTTCGAGGTATTATAATTACACTGTTTATTACTCATAACGATAAAACAAGGTGTCATTTGTGTGAGCCAGCGACCAACAAAGCGTTAAAATATGAATGAGGGGAATGGACAGCGAATTGCATTAAGCTCGTATTCAATACCAAAATTTAAATATGTATAACCATTCATTATCGTCTAAAGGCATTCAACGTCAAGCAATAAACGTACAATAGCATGAATAAGGTGGCCAATGAAATCTAGAGAATATACATCAAAGTCAAAAATAATTCATTCTAATCAAATTGTTGTTCATTAAAATTTTTAAACACCAAGGGGATGTCAATAAAGTGAATGTATAATCATTACAATGGTGTTAATTACCAATTGTGTGATCGAACGCTGAATTTCGGGGCAGGAAATGTCTGCTTTTATTGCTGCTTTAAGGGCGCTTATTGCTTGCTCCACAATGTTTAGGAATGGACTGTATGGAGGAAGTTTCCGTAACTCGGTATTAGGAGCAGGGACAGGTGGATTGTTGTGTGCTGGTGCGCCGTCATATATAAAGATTACTTCCTCATCAGGATCAAGATTAAGGCGTGTTTGTGTAAGGAAATTTGCAAAGCGTTCAAGGTTCATTCCTCCAAGAAATCCCGTGTGAAACACCAAGCCACCATACAACTAAGGCCACTGTCATGTTTCGTCCACGCTGTCCACAAACCTGGCGATACGCTCTTTCACCCACTCTAGCTCTACCATGACTAAGGGCGGTTCAAACGTTGTATCCCCATTCATCGATAAACACACAGTTGCGCAGGATAGCATGGTTCATGAACCATTGTGCATATTCTCTACGCTTTACAATCACATCAGGTCTATTTCTTTTGGTTGGCACACGTCGCACCAGTTTTAGTGTGAACAACATCCCATTCAGAGTATGTGCAACTGTACTTTCATGGATTTCGGGTTTGTGTGGGAGACGTCTTCGTAATTCTCTATTGATGTGCACAAGTGTTAGAACACAATTCTCGTTGATAATTTGCTCAAGACACTCTCTCATTTCTTCGTCTACGCAGATGTTGTTTCTGCCGCCCTGTGGCAACTCATGGATTTGTCCTTCTCTGATGAAATGCGTGACAATCCCTCACGCCGTTGACCGGTTAACTCCTAATGTATCTGCAATGAGTAAATAGTCTTCGTCTTCATTTTCAAAGGCTTGTACGATTCGATCCCTGTCTTGTTGTGAGATTCTATTTCGCCTGAACATTTCCACGTCTCCATACAGTGTACACTTTGTACTGACTCTATCACCTACACAGAAGACCTGACACGTCTTTATATGTTCGTCTGCGGAATGCTTACGTACTGTTTAAACAAAGCACGGATCCCTTGCACATGTCTACTGATTGAATTTTAAAAATTTTTCACCACATCTTTGTATATTTTGTAGTGTTAACTTGAGAAGATATTTGTGTTTAATGAATTTGATATGAATTCTATTGTTAGTACGATCACACAATTGGTAATTTACACCATTGTAATGATTATACATTCACTTTATTGACATCCCTTTGGTGTTTAAAAATTTTAATGAACAATGATTTGAATAGAATGGCCAGGATATTTATGCTATTGTACGTTTATTTCTTGACGTTGAATGCCTTTAGACGATAATGAATGGTTATGCATATTTAAATTTTCGTATTGAATATGAGCTTAATTCAATTCGCTGTCAAATCCGCCTACATTCATATTTTAACGTTCTGATGGTTGCTGGCTCGCACAAATGATACCTTGTTTTATCGTTATGAGTAATAAATGGTGTATTCATTTCTTTAGAAATTTATTGTTTTTACAGTCAATGAACACCAAAATATTAGCATAGCGGGACAAATCGTCAGGCTGGCTACGCTACTATTTGTCATGAGATGGCTATTAAGATGTTAACTTAAATAAATCAAGTTAATGGCAAACAGTTCACAACATGAGAAAAACACACATCCGTGACAGTTTTTAATAGTTAATTTATTAAAATATGAAATGTTGTAACAGCTATTGACAAATCGGTAACAGGTTTTGACAAAAGAATTGCTTTATTTTAAGAAATAAAAAATGTTATTACAAAAAATCATTTGAATAATGAGTACAACACGTGCAAAGCAGTTAATCGTTCAAAGCAGGTTTTTTTGTGCAAAGCAGTCAAACATAATGCTTGATTTTGTGTCCATTGACAAATCAAAACCAGAATGAAGAAGATTTTGTCGGTGATTTTCTATCCTGTTTTGTTGTTTATCAGGATCTAGGATTTGGGAGGGAATAATATAATGGATCCTCAATGGCTTATTCGTTGAGCATATAAAGGTGTAATTAGAAAAGTCCCATCTTTTTCAATCGATGTAATATAATTTTAAGCGTTAATATGTCTTTAAAAAAAGCATTTTTCTCATGATTTTTTAATGGTAACAAGGTAAAGTGCATATCCCTCGTCGTCAAGGTGAACTGCAAAAAATTTATTGTTTTTATTTAATTTGTTTATTATTTTAGAAGAATTCTTCAAATCTTTCAACTTCTCAATTGCACCTGCATGATTTCATAATGAAACTTTGCTCTCACAAAAGAAAACCCTTACAACTCAAGGTTTTGTATCATTCAAACTCAAGCAAGAGCTACTGAGTGCGTAGTACGGAAAATTATTATAAAAATTGCATATAAAAATTATTTCTATTTGCTGTATTAAAACGAACCTTCTACACAAAAGCGCTTGAAAATAGACTAAATTGTGCCTTGACTTTGCAAAGGTTAAAAGCAACAGGAAAAAAACTGCAACATTTTGTTGAAAAAAAAAATTCGGGATTTAGATTTTTTTTTGTCAGGCTGTAAAAAAATGATTGTTTATTTTTGTTGAGTGTAACCAATACTGATGGTGGTATAAAGTGAAAGGGGATACATAAATTTTTGATTGGGTTTTTACAAACCCATTGTTAAAAAATGCTACGCAAGCTTCCACACTCCTTTTTATTTTTAGTGTTATTAAAGTGTAGTAACTTGTTGTAGGGTGGCACATTCATAGGTGGCACAGGAAACAAAGAAATTACTTTTTTGTTATTTTTCTATTCATTTGAGTTCAAGTTGGACATGAGAATTGTGCAGAAAAATAGTATTTTTTAGCATTTTTAGTATTTTTTTTTGTGTTGAAATTGACACTGAATTGTGAGATGAGAAGATTTCTTATTCACATTTTACGTTCCTCATTTTTTGACAATCTTGCTGATTTTATTTCAATATTCAATGGATTTTAAAGGGTAAAATCAACAATCGATTGAAAGTGGGTCTTGTTTTCTGAAAATGAGAAAGAGGCTAAGAGTATTTAACATCGATATACTTAATTTAATCCTATAGATGGAAAAAATTAAAAATTATGTGTGGTAGTAGGAAGTATAAATATTTACGGAATTGTAAGGAATATAAATATTTATGGCTTGTAAGGACTATAAATATTGATGGGATTCTATTCGAACATTTTGTAAGGGAACTGATCCTGAGAATTATGAACAAGACATTTATGATTATCGTAGAACATTTTTCAGTAAGGAAAAGAAGACAAAAATCGATAAGAGAAAATGTAATTTGTGAACTTTGTAAATTTGGAAGATTGTGAATGTTGTACATTGTATTATAATTATTGAGATTTACAATGATTTTATTCCTCTACTATCGATTTAATTACACATTGTTTTTTATTCTTGTACCATTTGTTTCTATGTCTTCTTTTCAAATGTGGTTGAAACGTTGTAGAGAGAGTCAATTTGTTGATGCGACAACTATAGGTCCTCTGGCAGGAATTGAACCTACGCTTTTGCGATGCCAGCGCAATGCTCTAGCCACTGAGCTACAGAGGTAGCTGACAAGAGCAAGCGTGGTCAATGTACATATGACAGTAATGCCGGGAATAGGTGAGGGTAAATCAATTATGATTTTTGGCACTTCACTCGATGTAGGTAAATTCTAAGGGTCTTAATTTCAAGTGGCATTATACACACTTTAAATTCAAGCCAAGAACAGTCACTGGAAAAATGAGTCAACTATAGGTCTTCCGGCAGGAATCAAACCTACGCTTTTCTTCATTTTTCCATCAACTGTTCCTGGCTTGGATTTGAAGTGTGTATAATTCCACTCGAAATTAAGACCCTTCAACCTTCAGAATTTACCTGCATTGAGTGAAGTGCCAAAAATCATAATTAACTTATTAATAGTGTTATTTTAGTGGCAATGAAATTGCATGGGGAGATGTTGTTGATGAAGTTATCAAGAGTTGTTAAGTTATCAAGAGTTGTTGCTAAGTTAGCAAGATATAATTATGGTTATATATATTGGTTAGTTCATATTGATGTTTATTCTCTATATGTTTTTTTGAAATTGTTAAAGAATAAAAGTAGTAACAATGTTGGGAAAAAATTTGAAGAAATTTTACTGAAACTCCCGAAATTGAAATTCCTGAGAAAATTCAAAGCAATGAGGGAACTGAATTCAAAAAATTAGAAAGGAATTAACTAAAAAGTATAATTTGAATTATTTCATACTTTTAATTGTTGTTGAGCGTGTTATTCAAACATTGAAAACAATGGTTAGACATGTTCTTTCTGTCACTAATAATTTTAATTATTGAAAATATATAACATATGAAATTACAGACTTTAATAACCAGGTAATAAAAGGGAAGTTTTATAGAGAAAAATTGGAAGTTGTGTAGAAAATTAAAGATGACAACAAGAAATTTGTTTATTCCTAGTAATTGTCCGAGGGAACATAATTTTACAAATGATTTTGTTCTGTCTCTTTTATCACCAATTGATGGTGTAAATGATGTGCCAATGGAGGTTGTGAATGTATCGTATCCAAAGACTATTACTAATATTGTAGATGACGAATTTTATTTTAGTTTTTCTTTTTCCTACAAACGTCTTTCACTGTTTCAAATAAAACATTTTAAAACTCTTGCTGATCATACTGTCTATTTTTATTCATATTTAGGGCATAAAAATTATATTGATATTAAAATCAAGAAAAAAAGTATTCCCAATTTGTAGCTTTTGTCTGAACAGAACTTGAATACCAACGATAATCCAAACGAAACTACTAAATAGACGGGTGCGTGGATAGCACTCGACAGACAATTCTGATAACAATGTTCTGAGGATTTAATATAAAAAAACAATACTACAGGTATAGATTGTAACACAACTCGTCGTTGGGATAACACAGTCGAACTAGAAACGATTGACCATAGATAATACGACTGGAAACACACTGTAGATCGATTGAGAATCGACTGGATATCGGTTCAAACTAGAATATAACAATTAAACTAACTATAAATGAGTATATAACACAGAAAGCTAATTAGGATACATATGTGATATGACAATTAACCAGTACTTATTGAAGTTAATGAGTTTACGGCATATCATCAGCAGGGTGCCAAGACCCGTATCACCACTGATGCTTCACCTGTTGGCGTAGGAGCTGTGTTGGAGCAAGAAGATAGAAGCTACCGACCAATCTGTTATGCAAGTCGAAAGCTCAGCAATGTCGAACAGAGGTATTTGCAATTTGAAAGAGAAGCATTGGCTGTCAGATGGGCCTGTCAGAAGTTTTACCTATACCTGTATGGAGTTGAGTTCCAAATCCGAACAGATCAAAAACCTCTAATGGTTGCACTTGGGCAGAAGTCAAGTCCCCCATCTGCACGAATCCAGAGGTGGTTGTTATAGCTGCAGCAGTTAAAGTACGAGCTAACCAACATACAAGGAGCAGGTAATGTGGCAGATTCCCTAAGCTGCTTGCCTCTTGCTTCGACTGAAGATGATGATTCCAAAGATACAGAAGAATTTGCCTACAGTGTGACGAGTGAAGCCATGCCAGTTGCCTTAGTGCCTAAGGAAGTGGAGACTGCTTCAGCTGATGACCAAACTTTGAGATTGGTACGACAAGCTGTGATTACTGATGACTGTCAACTACAAGGCACAACGTACAAGACCATAAAGGATGAATTGTGGGTCATTGGACAAATTGGGACGCGGAAGTTGGATAGTTATGCCTGAAATCCTGTGGAAGCGCTGTATAACTTTGGCACACAAGGGACACCAAAGTATAATTCAGACTAAGGGAAGATTGCGAGAAAAGGTCTGGTAGCCACAAATGGACAAACAAGTAAAAGAAGCGATACAGTCCTGTTATCCTTGTCCACTTGTGGGTCCCAGAGCAAAGCCAGAGCCTGTCAGATCAACTGAATTGCCCGAAGCTGCCTGGCAAGAAATTGCAATAGATCTTCTTGAGATAAACACTGGTAATCATTTATTGGTAGTCGTAGACTATTACTCTCGATGGATCGAAGCAATTCTCTTGCGAAAAACAGATGCACAACATGTGATTAAGGCCCGTATTCAAAAAGCTCACTCACACTCAAACTCATTGAGTGGGAGATCTTAATCTGCCCATAACGTTTCAATGGCGGTATTTTCAGCCGAACAGGGGCTTGATTTTCAGTGATTTACCTTATATCTTTTCATCTATTGAGAGAAAACTTTCTCATTGATCAGCATTAACAAAATTTATATGTCACACTCAATGAGTGTGAGTGTGAGTGAGCTTTTTGAATACGGGCCTAAGAGTCTAGAAGCTATCTTTAGAACACATGGCCTTCCAGAATTTATTCATAGTGAAAATGGTCCACAATTTGCATCTTGTGGGTTTGAAAGTTTTTTATAGTATTTAGGTATCGTCCACAAGAAGGGCGTACCATATTGGCCTCAGAGTAACGGGGAGGTGGAACATTGCAATTCGACTATATTAAAGATTGTAAGAATTGCTCGGGTTGAAGGTCGCAATTCGAAGAAAGCCTTGGAGGATTTTCTGTTTCATCACAGAGTAACACCTCATACTGTCACCGGTGTGTCCCCTGCTGAACTTTTAATGGGGAGAAAGTTACGTGACAAACTTCCAAAGATCAAAATCCCTGAAGAACAAGCAACAGAAGCAGAATGGCAGAAACTCTTAAGAGAAAGATGCTCGTGCGAAGATGAAACAGAAAATATATGCTGATAAAGTACGAAGGGCTCAACAAAGTGATATAGGCGTTGGCGATCGAATACTATTAAAGAAATCAAGAGAGAACAAACTGTCAACTAGTTATGAACCACAACCATATGAAGTCGTTCATAGACAAGGAAGTGCTGTAATACAAGACAATGATGGAAACAATAAGATGCGTGGTATAGCTCATATGAAGAAATACGTAGGACCAGAAACGAATGAAGATGAAAGTAGATCGAAGGCAGTGTTAATACCTGAACATTGTTCTAGCACAGAGCTAGAACGACTGACAAAGAATTCAAATCACCTGGACTGTTCACCAAGCAATGTTCATAATCGATCAGATTTTGTCGGAGTTCCTACACCAGCTGTGCCAGAGACACCGAATATTTCATCCCGACCTATTGTTCAAGACGTTCATTCATCCCAACCTATCGTTCCAGATGTTCGAACAGTGCACGTTAAGCGACAGCCACTATGGATGAAAGATTATGTAGTTAAGTGAGAATTGATGTGATAATTAATTTTAGTTTATTATATCTTTATAGTGACTGTGGAACAGCACACAAAAAAATATATAGTATATAGAAACATGGCAACATTTAGAATAACTAGTGGGGAGATGTAGTGTATTGACCGGAATCGGAAGTGTCCAGGCTGGACAGACTAGACTTATTAACATAATTAGTTTATATAAAAGCATGTGTATTTTTGTATTTAGGGAGTTGGTTTTAAATAAAGAGATATAAAAACACTACAGTTATCAATTCATTTCACAACCTAGTTTACAAAATGCTGGAGGTGTGGGATTCTATTTAAGAGACGACTGTGAATTTCATTGTCGGGAAGATTTCACATGATTTGAATGTTTAGCCACAGACAGTCTCACAGTAATTTAATATGTTTAGTTGTCTACAGACACCCAAAATGTAATTTTGATAATTTTACTAATAATCTTACTGAAATACTAGATAAAATATCCAGAGAAAATAAATACTGTGTTCTAATGGGTGACTTTAACATTACTTTATTGAATTTTGAATCCCACTCTCCAACTGATGAGTTTATTAATAATTTGACCTCATATTGTACAACCTACCAGAATAACTGACCACACACACAGCTACTTTAATAGATATTTTTTTTAATTCACTTGAACATGATTGTGTCAGTGGCAACCTGGTGTATGATATTTCCGATCACCTTCCCAATTTTTTTATAACAAGACACCTGTTCTGGCGTTAACTCTGCACGTGCCAGTCTTTAATATAGAGCCTCTGAACATAAACAATACAGTTCATGCTCGCATTTAGATGCCTTGCGAACCTAAATGTTCGATCGCGAAATTCAGAAGCACATCGTACTTTAAAAAGTATAGAAGTTCAATTGTTCAAAAATGTAAATAAACCGCATGATAAATTCGCTTTGTTTTACACTTTGCCTTTGGAATTCGCGCTTATATAGTTATATTAAATCTTCAATCCTGTTCAAACTACGACGTGTCAACACGCCTATACACGCCCATATAATGATTCAGAAAACTTCCAGGTACTCCAGTTTAAATATTCCATACAGCGCCAGAAGTCTGCATATTAATTTTCAAATACTCTCCAGCATGCAGATTAGTCAAAAAAGCGGATGACTGTGTGAATTTTGACTAATCTGAGAGGCAGATTCAAGACATTTGATTGGTCAATTCACATTTTGACTAAAGTTTGCGGGGGGGTTGACTAAATTGCGTAATATGGCTTCTGATTGGCTTGATCCTTTGACTAGTTCGCTGTGTGGGGTATTCTAGTCAGTCAGT